TCATAAATTATCGTTGTTAGTCAGCTAGTCAATTAATAAAATAATTATTTAAACACGAAAAGTAAACCAGCATTTAAGGTAAGTCATGAAGAAAATAGACGAAAAGTATGTTCAGGGTGTGGAAATAAAATTATATTTAGGATAAGCAAAGAAGTTAAATTAGCAGTATAAGAAAAGAATTGAAAGACTCTTGAAATTATATTTAAACCAAAATTATGACAAAAATATTAAATATATATAACTATTTATCGCTATTTATTAAACTAGTGTTGCCTGGAACGGTGATGGCTAACTAGATCTTTTTATTTACTCCTTATTTAATTCCCAATTTGATCCATTTTTTAAATTTTGGACTATAATTCAAATATCAATTTAGTGACTTATTTAAGATTTTTTGCGAAATTATTGAAAACTGAGCCCTTTAGGAAAAAATGTTTAAATAAAGAATTAAAGACGACTAAATTTTCAATTAAATGATGCTTTAACAACCGCAATCATTGGCGTAGATATGATTTTTTTAATTATAATATGTTTAAAACACAGCAGTTTGCACATTGATCGCCGAAAGCATATTTTACAAATAAAAAGGAAAGGACGACAGAAAATGGTCTATCTATTAATTAAACTATGTATTTAAAAAAAGCAGGGCCCTTAAATAAATTGAGTACCTAAGTAATATATGTTCAGTTGAGGTATACGCTTACGCAATAATACCGCTACCAATTATTTATATTTAATTGCGAATTAAATAAGGAGTAAATAAAAAGATCTAGTTAGCCATCACCGTTCCAGGCAACACTAGTTTAATAAATAGCGATAAATAGTTATATATATTTAATATTTTTGTCATAATTTTGGTTTAAATATAATTTCAAGAGTCTTTCAATTATTTTCTTATACTGCTAATTTAACTTCTTTGCTTATCCTAAATATAATTTTATTTCCACACCCTGAACATACTTTTCGTCTATTTTCTTCATGACTTACCTTAGATGCTGGTTTACTTTTCGTGTTTAAATTATTTTATTAATTGACTAGCTGACTAACAACGATAATTTATGAGAGACACAAAACCTGTCAAAACTATTTATTAAACAAAAGTGTTACCTAGCAACGGTGATGGCTAACTAGATCTTTTTATTTACTCCTCGTTAGCAATTAAATGTAAAAAAACTCGTGGAGATATTATTGCGTGAGCGTGTACGTTAACTGAACACACATTACTTCGATACTTAATTTATTTAAGGGCCCTGCTTTTTTTAAATACATAGTTTTATTAATAAATAGACCATTTTCTGTCATCCTTTCCTTTTTTATTTGTAAAATATGCTTTCGGCGATTAATGTGCAAAAACAATAAAGTATTAAACATTTTGTAATTAAAAAAAATCATATCTCGAAAAAAACGAATTTTAGAATATTGACTTTTATACATATTGTTGTTCATACATCACACATTGATATAAAAAATTATCAAATGAAAAAAAAATGTGGCATTATCAAAAAAAAATTTTTTGAAAAAAAAAATATTTTTTACTAATTAACAATTTTAAAAAAAATTATGCGCAAAATTTTTTTTCTTCAATGTACTTCGTAGATTGAACAATTACCTACAATTTAAAAAAAAGCACTCAAATCCATGCATTTTTACAAAAGTTATAAGCATTCGCAAAAAAGTTGTTTATGGGGAAAATGAAAAATCCGCATTTGTGCGCTCAGAGAAAAAATTAAATTTTTCGAAAACGCTGACTTTAAGAGCAAAAACAAAAAATATGTGTTTTCTGAAATATTTTAACAACCATTTCTGAAAGTATCGCCGAAAAAAAATTTTTCGACATAAATGGCCTGGGTGATTTGAGATGGATCGAGCCGTAAGCAAAATTAAGTATTTGATAAATAAGTATAAAAATGGCTAAATATGAGGCAAAAACTTCTTCCTACAAAATAGGCCTCTATTCCTCTATGGGGCGGGGGGCCCAATGGGGCGGGGTCGGTTGGGTTGGGTTGTTGAGTTTGGGTTGGTTTTGCTCACTTTTGCCCATTTAAGTTGATTGACAGTGAGCGAAACCAACCCAAACTCAACAATGAAAGCTCAAGACGTATACCAAATTTTGTACGTGACGTATAAATAGCCACTTCGAAAATTTTAAGCTTAAGTTTGAAAGTGAGCTAAAGCCACCTGTGTTTACGGTATGTTTTATATATATATATCATAGGTTTTTCTATGATATATATATATATATATATATATATATATATTAGGGTGTTTCAAAAAAATCGACTTTTTCTTTTTCTTCAAATGTTCAGCAAATTCTTTCAGAGGATGTCAAAACAAAGACCTCGTTAAAATTTGAGCTTTTAATTTGAAGATTTAGAGGTCGCGGATCGCAATTTTCTATTTCCCATTTAAATATCATAGGAATATTTTTTTTTTAACTTTGGAATTTTATACGCCTATATCGAATCAACTTATGGCAAGGAACATCTTAGATTTTTATAGTAAATTTAACGCTCTATAAAAAATGTCTCTTATAATTTTTCTATAAATTGATTTCTTCCAGAGTTATTCGAGGCCAAAGTTTGATTTCCATCGAATTTTCTCGTTTTTTCAACTTTTAGCATCATGTAGTAAAAAAATCACATATTTATATCTGAAACATAGGAAGTGTTGTAAAAAAAACATAAAAACGTCACTTTTGTCCAAAGCCTACTACAAAGTTTTAATGAAAATATGAGATGTGTATAATGGGGTAGTTAAATTTTTTCTGACCTATACTTTTTATGGTTTTATTCAAGGCGTTTTGTAATTTTAAACATTTCTGTGAAATCGGAATTTCAATTGAGTTTACCGTTTTCGAGATATTTACAAAAAAAAATCTCCTAATTACGTCACTAGGCTATTGCCAACGTTGCCAGCTTTTTCTATGGTGTTTAGTTTAAGATTCTTACGATAGATGGCGCCACGTTATAATATTTTAGTTTTAAAACTACTAGATCTAAAATTTTACTTGAGAAGAAGAAGAATTGATTTTTTGACGTTTCTTTTTTTCGGGTTATGTTTTTTTTTTAATTTAGATTATTGAAAATAAATGTTATTGTTATGTTATTTGTAATTGATATTAGATAACTGATTTATTAATAACGGACTCCAAAGCAGAGGAATCTTGTGGAATGGTTGGTTACATTGAACATTGGAGCTTTTAAACAAATAAAGTAAGTACCTATAATTATAATCATATTTTGCCGTAAATGCATTTCATTAGTATTCTTTATATTCTTTTAGATATATCTTGGACTCTAAAATATCAAACAGTAATATGATACCTCGTAATAAGGAAGATAGGTACTTAATGAATTTGGTGACCATCTGTTTGAATAATTTTAATCAAAATGTCTATTTGTAAACCCTGCACTATCTTTACCTACTATGTACGTTATTGCAGCAATATTTAAACCAGAATTGTCGAAAAGTACAAAAATGTACTCTAGAGCTTAGTATCTTCGAACACTCCAAAAGTTTGTTATACATTTTTTTAATCTTACAAAAGGTTTTGATGCTCATCATCAGGGATGCAAGTTTTATAAAAACTATACACAAATATCATAAATACCATTGTTAACTTACATTTACTGTTATTTTTTGTAAATTTATTTCATTCATTTTCAGCTTTATTTTGCCACTTTTTTCTATGAAATATATTAAACTCTGCTTTAGACAGTTATTAGGTACCTATTTATTACATTTTATTAGGTTTCACACGGTGTTTCAATGTGTAAACCTATCAATAAAACTTTTAATTTCAGAATTTTCTTTAACCTCCTCTTCTTCTTCTTTCACTCAACTGACAGTGACAGTATTTGTACATAACCTCTTCGGGTATTTTCTGACATAACCGAATGAAATCATTAACAAGACAACTTGACAACAGGGTAATTTTCAACCAATAGAAATCTTAGAATGTTGGTCACATGGCGGGGTTTGTGACGTCATAAAAATTTATATTTTTTGTAAATATCTCGAAAACGGTAAACTCAATTGAAATTCTGATTTCACAGAAATGTTTAATATTACAAAACGCCTTGAATAAAACCATAAAAAGTATAGGTCAGAAAAAATTTAACTACCCCATTTGCAAAGTAATTTATTTATAAATGCATTTTTCTCGAAAATGGTGCATCTGAGCAATTCAAATCAAGAGTACCTATTTTTCGTAAAAAACTATAAATTCTCATAATTTCATAAAAAAAATTAAATTATTAACCCAGAAAAAAGTTGGGGCTATTTTTGTAACTTTGCCCCCTCCAAATGTTACGCCTATGATTAAATTTTAACAGTTTTGATCATAGATCTAGATTCAGCATGTCAAAATTACCAAAGTACCTACCGAAAATTCATTTGTTCATGTTCAACCCTCTAGGAATAGTTTAAAAAAAATTATCCTCTTAGGCTCCTATTCAGGGGGCCGTAGCTCCTTTAGGGAGCATTTTTTGATACATGTTTATTAAACAAAAAAACTGTTATTTTTATACGAATAATGTTTAAGTTTGGCCCCCTGATTTCGGGACACCCGTATAATGATAATTGTACCATAAATGTTAAAAAAACGCGAAAATTCGATGGAAATCAAACTTTGGCCTCGAATAACTCTGGAAGGAATCAATTTATAGAAAAATGATAGGAGACCTTTTTTGTAGAGCGTTAAATTTACTATGAAAATCTAAGATGATCCTTGACATAAGTTGATTTGATTCAGACGTATAAAATTTCAAAGTTAAAAAAAAAATTCCCATGTTATTTAAATGGGAAATAGAAAATTGCGATCCGCGACCTCTAAATCTTCAAATTAAAAGCTCAAATTTTGACGAGGTCTTTGTGTTGACATCCTCTGAAAGAATTTGCCAACCATTTGAAGAAAAAGAAAAATTCGATTTTTTTGAAACACCCTAATATATATATCACATTGTATGGTGCCATTTTTAGTTCACTATTTAATTACTTACCATCAAAAAGATGTGAAGCATCCAAATTAACTTTTTCCAAACAAATTGGCCCATTTGTGATATTTTGAATCTGTGCCTCTAAATAAACATCATCATTTTCAGCATTATAAAATTTGGTTTTGACATCCAAGGGTTTCATTACTTGTATTTTAAAAAATTTTCTAAATGTCATTAAGTTGCCTGTAATTGTTTGATAACTAACTTCGCAAACCAATCTATAATTAAGTTAATATTAAAATAAATACTTTGTACAACTTTTTCTTATCTTACATGTGAGTCCCAATTTCCTTAACTTCATGATGAATAACAACATTAACAGTATCATCAGACGATAAAGTTTCTGTAGGAGGATTCATTGATAAAGGCAACCTTTGTGAACTAGTTTGTAAATCAACCTTAAAGACTTGAATTAATATATTACCTACAAACAATATTCTACTGTATACCTTAACTGTAACATTATTAACAACATCCTTTGTCTCACTGTAAACACAAATATAACTTGAGAAAGTCTCTCCCAAATATATATTAACAGGACTTTGGGGCAGCAACAAAAATTGCCCTGTACATAATGTTTCAGCGCCATGCACTGCAGTAGGGTCTTGTTGAAGGGCATTATTCAGTAAATTACCCGGCAAATCTTTACTATCACATGTAACTGGTAAAGGAGTTGCTAGCATTGGTCTAGTTAATCTCATCACTAAAATTTTGATGTAATAAGTACCTACCTAGTATTTAGAAATGTTATTTGTTACCTTTTAGGGCTAGTAAGTGTTCTTCGGTCTCCATTTTAGTTTAATGTGGGTTTTATAACTATTTAATATCATATAACAAATATGTTTACTATTAAAAACAAGAGATTTTGCTTAGGTCGGTTTTTTGACGTATTTGGTACATTTAAACTACCAAATTGATTACATACCTATATCCTATGAGAAGTTTCCAAGGTATTTATAAACACCGTTATTATGAATTATATTAAAAAACGCATTAAAATTGTACTTAACACGATTTTTAATAATAAATAATTTTGTAAATAATGTATCTAAAAACTCTCACCAATGGAATTTCAAGAATGTCATGTAAATTTTTGTTACCTACTTTTGGAAGTATGTGCATGTCAAAGTATTAGGTTATAAAAAACCTCAAGTGTAAAGGACTGACTTTTGATTTAAAATAATCCCTTAAGCGTATTAAAATATATCAAAATTAAATCTATTTTAGTACAAAATTTTCAGATAGTGCTCGTTCACAAGCAAAGAAAAAGCACAGAAACACAAAACATAAGAAAAGAAGTGTGTCAGAAACGTCAGTTTTGAGTTGTTAAATTTTGGAAAGGAGAAAATCAATACCTTTAACAATGCTCTTTGACAGGTGAATTTGTGTTGTGTTATTTTATTATTTTTATTAGTTTTTATATCGAAAATTTAGCACAAAAATGTTCGCACGGGTGACGTTTTACCCAACCTTACTTTACAACGTTTGCATGGAAAAATTAACGCCGCGACGCTGGTACGACCGCATAGATGACACCGTGATATTGGGGGCCCTGCCTTTCCCAAGTCTAACAAAAGAGGTTTGTTTTCTTATATTTTCACTCATCATTTTCGGTTTATTCACTTTGCCTAATCTCTGCAATGCGCTTCTATTTTACCAGGCGATTTTAGACAATATGTTAATTACCCATAAGGTTTGATTTAGCATGCAATCGTCAAAGGCATCACAAACTTGACCTTTAACTTAAAGGCTTTAAGTATTATTAGTTTTTTTCGGAAATATTTTTGAAATAAACTATAATAAAAATCGCGTAGCTTTCATTTGTTTTTATTATAATTTAGTTCATTAGAACTACCAAAACTTAAAATTCATTGCGCGAAATTTAAATTTTAGCACATACTTTCACACATACAAATCATTTGAGACTGTTTCCTTTTCTTGGGGTAAAATTAGGGTTAGTAAAAATACCAGTATGATTGCAACGTCGTATTTCGACCACGATATTATAATGAACCATTTTGTTTGTTTTCTGTTGCATACCAATTGTTTTGGCATTGTTTTTTTCTATTGTGTTTACAAGATTTTCTGTGGCTGTTACATAAAATGCATACCACATTTTACCTATATTCCATTTAACCTAAATTTTATTTACTTGACATTTGTATCATACCGTATGATTCATACGTGCCACGTGGCGGCTGGTTGATTTTGGATTTATACCGATATATCGCGATATTAGAAATGGGACCCACATTAAATATGAGTTTATAATGACTTTAAATAAACAAATTCTGCGCCAGCAGAATTTAAATTGTAGTTTTCAAAAAACAGATAATTTTTTGCTCGGCCGTACCGGCCCCATGGCGCCCCTAATAAATATAATATAAATTTAATTGATGCAATTTATTATTCATTAGTGCTGTACAATTTAGCCGGTTAAGCCGGCCAAAAAAGTTAGCTAAGTTAATTAGCTAGCTAACTGATCAGCTTAGCTAAACTAAATTAGCTTAGCTATAGCTAATTATAATTAGCTGGCGGCTTAACCGGTTAATTTAGCTTAGCTCAGCTAATTAGCTAACGGCTAAACGGCTAATTTTTTTAAGCTATATAATGATTTCATATTTACAGACTGGTTAAAAAAATAATAATATTGATGTTGCTTTTACGACAAACAATAATAGAGTAATTTATTAGGTTAAATAATATTTTACATTTTATTTATAAAAATGACTTTTAAATTAATTGTTAAATTTTTTTTCAGTTATATCTATATTTTGGTAAAGGGAAATTAATAAATTTGCTTTTTCGGGAAGTAAGCAGTTCCGTTTAGAGCTTATAATATTTCCGGCTGAGGTGCCAGATGACAGGTGACAGATGTCAAGTTGACAGATGACAAATAACTGATGACAAAGACATGTGACAGATAAAAGGTAACAGATGTGACAGATGACAATTGACAGATGACAGGTGGCAAATGACATCTGTCATCTGTCAATTGGCATCTGTCACATTTCGTCTGTCACCTGTCATCTGTCATCTGTGTTGTGTCATATGTCAATTTTCATCTGTCACATCTGTTACCTTTTATCTGTCACATGTCTTTGTCATCAGTTATTTGTCATCTGTCAACTTGACATCTGTCACCTGTCATCTGGCACCTCAGCCGAAAATATTATAAGCTCTAAACGGAACTGCTTACTTCCCGAAAAAGCAAATTTATTAATTTCCCTTTACCAAAATATAGATTTAAACGAAAAAAAAATTAACAATTAATTTAAAAGCCATTTTTATAAATAAAATGTAAAATATTATTTAACCTAATAAATTACTCTATTATTGTTTGTCGTAAAAGCAACATCAATACTATTATTTTTTTAACAAGTCCGTAAATATGAAATCATTATATAGCTTAAAAAAATTAGCCGTTAGCTAATTAGCTGAGCTAAGCTAAATTAACCGGTTAAGCCGCCAGCTAATTAGCTAAGCTAATTTAGTTAACCGGTTAAATTGGCTATAGCTTATAAGCTGATTAGTTAGCTAGCTAATTAACTTGGCCAACTTTTTTGACTATTATTTATCATAGTTTATACGATAAACTTTATCGACAAATTTCAAATTTTATTTAACAAATCCAAATCATACATATCATTTTAAATTTTTATTATTTCCTTGAAAAGAAATATTAAAAATTTAAAATGGTATAAAATCTGTATAATTTGGATTTATTAAATGAAATTTGTCGATAAACTATGGTAAATAATAAATTGCACCAATTAAATTAATATTACATTTATTTGGGCGCCATAGGGCCGGTACAGCCGAGCAAAAAGTTATCTTTTTTTCGCAAGCGTCAATTTAAATTCTGCTTGCGCAGAACTTGTTTATTTAAGTCATTATAAACTCATATAAATTTGGTGTGGGTCCCATATCTAATAATTGAGATATCGGTATTCTTAAAATCCACCAGCCGCCGCACAGTGGTTATAAATCCCAAAAAGCTGGCCAAAACCCAAAAATAAAAATTTACCTTTCAGGGTAAATCTTAACAACATCTCGAATAGATGGTATTAGTGTAGTAAAATCCAAAGGGACAGAGCATAAGATCGCCTTTTAGACTGTAGGTGTTCTTTCAAAGTTCGCCCTTTTAACGAACACCTGTCACTCTGGCGTTTATTCACTTTTATACAGAAATTTAAACATGTCAAATTTAAAGGTTTTGCCGCAAATTAAAAAAATTAAAAAACTCATGATGAAACATTGTAAATAATGTACATACCTTCAAGAACATCTTCCTTTGTTTCCGATCTCTTTACAACACTTTTACTCGTTAAAATTCCGTTTCTTGCCGCGATGCATATACAGTGTGTCCCGCTTTTCATAAATCCACCCTTATATCTTAGTTATTAATAATGCGATTTTCTTCAAATTTGGGTGGTGATTGTATGTTGGAAAAATGAAATATTTGCTATAGTAAATTTTTTTATTTATCATTGGCGTACGGTTTTAGGGGGTAAAAGGGGGTCGATTTTTCGGCAAAAGGATATTAGGGCTTATTTTAGATAAATTGTTCAATCATATTTAGATTCAGCATCCCCAAAAACCCCTTAATCCATTCTTAAAATCTCAAAAACTGCTTTTTTATTATCACCAATTAAGCGGATAATTTCAACTTTTTCTTCAATTGTAAGAACTACTCTATGATTTTGTGCCATTTTATGAATGCATTGATAAATGACACTGTTTAACTTTTGACAATTCGTACGAATTGCCAAATGTCAAACAAAAACTTGGGTTTCAAAGAACTCTTTGATTTAATGTGCTCTGGTCAGCGTGATGTCTTAATAAATTAATTAATTTTTTTTTCTGCCATAATCAATTTTTTAGATTTTAAGAATATGGATTAAGGGGTTTTTTGGGATGCCAAATCTAAATATGATTGAAAAAATTATCTAAAATAGGCCCTAATATCCTTTTGCCCAAAAATCGACCCTCTTTTACCCCCTAAAACCGTACGCCAATGATAAATACAAAATTTTACTATGGCAAATATTTCATTTCTCCAACATACAATCATCACCCAAATTTGAAGAAAATCGCATTAATAATAACTGAGATATAAGGGTGGATTTATGAAAAGCGGGACACACTGTATATATGCAAATTCCGTTTCTTGCGACGATATTTCGAACATTTGTTATAAATTGTTTTCAGAGCCGACTATTGTTGATTTAATGTTAATTTTTGTTTTTCAAACGTTTCAAATAATACATTTTACAAGGAAACTCATTTTTCTTAAATTTTGAATTACAGCGCCATAGGTTGATAAATTGAAAAAAGTTTAAAATAAAAGTTATTTATTTTTTTATGTACTACCAAACTCTGTGAAAAAAATCGGGTCATTCCATTTGACTTTCCAAAGTTACCCCCCGTTTCACCCTTAAGGAGGGGTAGGGGGTGGCTAGCGGTAGCACCAAATAATGTCCCCTTTAGTCACATTAACCTTTTATTTAAGACATTTTTCCGTGAAATGCGTATTTCTCGAGATATTGAGCTGTCTCAAGTTAAAAGAAACACCCTGTATTGTTATTTTTGTACCTGATATAACATATCATATTGTATTTATTTTTATTATTACTAGAATTAATTTGATTTATTTATATTGTAAACCTTTGTGTATCTGCTATTTAGCGTTAATAAACATAAACATTTATGTATCTTGAAATCCCCCACTTACGAACTGACTATGCGCATAAGGCAAATCGACAAATTTTCCCTCAAAAAAAGGAAACAAGATCATCTATAAAACATACAGCGAATAAGCATATTATGTGAAAGTTTGTAAATTTACAATGGCGGAAACGGAATTTTGAACGACTATCAAAATCTAAACTTCCTTTAGGGACAACTAACCTTACATCTTATCACTAGTCTTGTCATTTTGACAGCAAAAGCAAAAATAGTCAAATATCTTTGCTATACAGATTTATACATGGACAACCAAATTATGGCATTCAAAATTCCGTGTCCGGCACTGTACCTAAATTAGGTACAGTAGCGGACACTTAATTAATTTTATTGAGGTAAATTTTCAACTTTTGAAATATCACAGCTAAATGCTCGGACACGCAAACATAGTTTTTGGCTGTAGATTCCAAATCCGTGCTCGGCTTAGCTGTATCAGGTCTAAAAAAGTTTTTCCTACTGGCAATCCGATCCGGGGACACTCTGTATTATGGAACGCCGTTGTATCCAGAGTCTCTGGATGTATTATTTAAGCCTGATTTATAGATTGTCTTCCTTCCTTCCTTCCTCCCGTAGAAGATAAACAATACAATCCCGTACGGAATTCCTGACATATGCAGGGAATGGGATTTTGCGGTCTGGGTGACGCTGTTAATTTTAAACATTAAAATTAGTGGATAGTTTTCCTTACCAATCAGTTTAATTCAAACATTAAAATCTAGCGAATTTCATACTTTGAAATTACTTTTGCATCTAGCATGAATTTTAAACAATGAAATAACGCGAATTTACAAGTTTTGTTGAATGTTTTGTTACTTTTAAACTGGTTGCTTAAAGTCTGATTTATAGATTGTCTTCCTTTCTTCCTCCCGTAAAAGATAAACAATACGAAAACAGTTTTTTTTTTTAAACTGATATAGGGGTCCAGCCCAAAACTTGAAAATTAAATATCTTTGAATAGCTAAACCAAGAACACATTTGTATTCTACGACTAAAAATTAAGTTTACGTATCCGAGCGTTTAGCCGTGAAATTTCCACCTTCCTATAGTGTTATTAAAATATTTTAAATTAGCTTGTAGAAAAGGAAAATGTAAAGGCGGTGATATCAATGAACGAAGATTACGAATTAATGTTAGCAAATAACGGAGAGGTAAATACATAAAATCCACCTAAACTATACAAATAATATGTTAATTCGTAAAAATATTTAATTTGTAGAGATGGAAAAAAGCAGGTGTTTTTTTCTTACAATTAGCAACAACAGACATATTTTCAACCCCTTGTCAATCAAAACTAGTAGAAGGTGTTCAATTTATAAATAAATTTGTAGATCCACAAAATATAAAAGCAGATATTTCGAATTCTTCTGTTTATGTACACTGTAAAGCTGGCCGCACACGTAGTGCGACTTTAGTGGGATGCTATTTAATGCAGGTAAGGTTTTTTTTTAAGAAAAGGTGGTAGGGTTTCAAGGCTGTAAGTTTGATACCCGAGGGGTAAACCACTCTAAAATCAGCGAGACAACGTTCAGTCGCGGATCTCGCAAGAAAAACGTGCAAAGATTTCCTCTCACAAAAAGTCGCACTTTTTCTTGAAACTTATTTGTTTTTGTATAAAAAGTTTTTTTTGTGACAGAAAATCTTTGAGGGCGTTTTACTCGCGAGATCCTGATATATCCTTATTCGACGCTTATCGATTCCATCCTTATTATAATAATAAATTTCTCTTAGCGACGCGTTGCCTTTAGAAACCCTAATGACTTTTTTCCTAAGTAACATTTTCAATTAAATTTACATTGTGGCTTCATCTAAGTGTGTTCACGTAAGGTTTCAGGTGGTATTTTCAAAGTGGCAGAAATACGTATGTGCCCAAGTGCCTTAGTTTGCATTTACTTCAATGGGAGTTTGCCTGGTTTTCAACATGTGAAAACTCTTGGATGAAGCCACAATAACAATTTAATTGAAAATGTGACTTAGGCACTTCTTGCATTGACCCCTTCAATTGTAGTTTACATCCGTTGATACTGCAACGTCGAAATCATCAGCCAGGTGGTATTAAACTCTAAACAGCTGTTAGATTCCATTTTGAAACTTTTATATTAGAGTTTGAACGCTAGCGTTCAAACTCTAATATAAAAGTTTCAAAATGGAATCTACTTGTTATAGAAAACCCCTCTCCTATAGGAGCTATTGCCCAGGGGCGGTTTTAGACATCTACTGAGGAGGGGCGGGCGAAAATGGTAAAGTGGTAATCAGTGCAGTCACAGTATTATACTAGTATAATACTGCTATTATAGCTATAATAGCAGTCTTGACTAGACATGTTTGAACCAATACAATATTTATAAATAGTGACAAGATAAAAATGTGTGCATTAATTTAAATTTGTATTTTTTTCACATGTTTACAATGTTTATTTTCTTATTAAGAATAATGGTTAAAACTTTATACTAGGTACCTACCAGTTTATTTTCTAAAAAAATATTTTTTAGAGATACAATTGGACCCCAGAACAGGCTGTTAAACATATGCAAGAAAAAAGGTCCCATATTTTGTTGCATACAAGACAGTGGGAAGCTTTGAGAGTCTTCCATAAAAAGAATAAACATATACTTGACAATAATGAATGCTCATAGTTTTAATTACTTATAATCGATATTTTATTTATGTAGTTTTAGGTATATTAATTTTTAATAAAATGGTTGTTTTATAATTTAGTTTTATTTTGTTTGTATAGGCCATCGTTTCTCATCCTTTTTAGTGTCGCGACTAGGGTTGTCAGATTTTTTTCTACAATAAGAGACAAATGATCAAAAATACGAGACTTAATTGATTTACCCGGGACAAATGAAACGATAAATTTGATTAGGTTTTATTCGAACTCAAAACTACAAAGTATACTTAAAATATATTTTACATAGAGCAATGCGATATTAGTCAATATATTTTGATGACGATTGAGAAAGCTTTATGATTTCTTTGTTGGTCTTCATAAAGATATTAAACTGTTGAAAATTCAAGTCATAGTTGAACATTGTATTAAAGTGATTAAATCTGGTGTGCATATATTTCTCACGTCTGTCCATTTAGCTAAGTATGGCAGGCCCCAAAGACATATGAGACATAATATTATTCTCCACTAATCTCCCAGGGTTATTTTACCCCCTTTCCGTTCTCCTGCGTATCCCGCCAAATCGCAGCATTACCTGTGTTTGTTGGATCCGAAGTTTTTACGCCGGTTGGTAGATCCACCCTAGGAGGTCGTGGATTACAGTGTCTATGGTTAAGGCCGCTCCACGGATTTTTGTCAGCCGGGTCGGGCCATACGTCCAATTTAGGAAGGGTTTTTGGAGGACATTGAACTGACCCAAAACTAAGTACAATCCGGAATCCTCCTCAACCAGGGCTTTAAATTAGTAATAACCCCATTCAGTTGGGATTCTTGAATGGGGGTAGGTGGATTAGTATGCTGCTAGAGCCTTTCCTTGATGGTGTACTTCCTGTTCGTCGCTGTCCGAGTCGGATTTCGGTTCCTGGTAGCCGCTTTAGAATTGTTTGTCCCCCTGTGCGATATTGAGTCTTATCTTCAGAACCGAAGTGTTGCCGGCCGCACCCCGCCGTAATGAGTACCCTGTGACTACGTGGAAATTCAGCCCGTCATGCCGAGAACCGACTTCATAAGCAGCTGTTTGCCCCGCCTTTGTTTAACCTACTGAAATTGCCTATACCCTCGAATTTTTTCCCACTGTGCGTGATCCCCTTCACTTGGGGTTTGGTCCATCTTTGCGCCTCACTGTGTGGTGCGGCTGTTTACCTAATTTATGGTCCCTTAACGTCTTAGTAATCTAAAGATGTTTATTTCTTTAAGATGGTTTCTTTTGCATAATGTTTATCGTAACTTGAGTGATTAATGGCTTCTTATGTGCCCTTGTGTTTATAGTTTTTTTTTACCATGATTCATTTTTGAGCATGGGAATCTTGGAAATTGTTTGCGAATAATTAATTTTACCTGACGGATTTTTTGTTAGTTAAAGGTTGCGGATTTCGTATTAACTAGTATTAATATTATTGGGTATTATATGGTCATGCAATTTTGGTAACTTTTTTTGAAAAATGCGTCCACGGATGGACTTACTTAAATATACTTATAAAAATATTTACTTTTATTTTGCTTATACAGGGTGTTCCGAAATTAATGCACCATACTTTAACAGCAGATTCCACGTGCAAAAATAAGAAAAAAAGTCTCTATAAATATAGATCGAGAAATGCCTCCTAAGGGAGCTACAGCCCCTGAAAAGGGAGCCCCTGAATATGGTTTTTATCTAATATTTATAAAAAAGTAGAAACACCCTGTCACTTACTACATGAAACTGTCACCTGTCTTGAATTATTCTATTTTTTCCTAAACATGGCAGTCGTATTCCAAGGACCACACGAGTCCATTTCTATGGTTGTGATTTAATTGTGAATTTTTGTGCCATGTAAAATAATTTTCAAATCGATTTTAAGCGAAAACGGTGTATGTTAACGAAGTTCAACAAGATCACCTTTTTTATGTGCAAAACTCCAAAATTTCATAATCTGACATCAAATTCTGGTACAAGATACGTACAAAAAAGTTAAGGTGGTTTTAACCCCACTTCCTTTCAATCTGACCCAAACCTCATGAAATTTTTTAAATTGTTATTTTTACGTCTTATTGGTCATAAAAAGTTTAATTAATTCCCTAAATTTCACTTTTCTATCTTTAACGGTTTTGGAGATATTAAATAAAAACCGTCTTCAGGGGCTTTCCTTTTGGGGGCTGTAGCTCCCTTAAGAGGCATTTCTTGACCTATGTTTATAGGGACTTTTTTTCTTATTTTTGCACGTAGAATCTGCTGTTAAAGTATGGTGCACTAATTTCAGGACACCCTGTATATAACATATAACATAAACCCAGATTATATAAATACGATTCGCGTTGAGAAATTTCCATTTTGTTGTACAGGGTGCGCAAAAAATTACAATTATAGATTTGCAAAATTAAAAATAAATATTTTTTTAAAGCTTTAAATATAAAGAGCTTGTAAGGAGAAATCAAAAAGTCAAATTAAGTTTTTTCATATAAGTTGTTGATACTTGATATTGAAAATTAAAGATATTATATTACTATAGTTATAGTTATAAAATTTTAACAAACAGGTAATTGTAGACATTGTAAACATGTCAGTTAAAAGCAACAACCTTGATTTATAATCACAAAATGAGATAGCAGTTAATTTCTACAAAATAATAGGACCACTCAAGTAAGGACGACTTTATTCTTAATAACAAATATCTTAAGATAATAATTATTAACAACTCACGTGAAAAAACTTTAGCTTTTTGTTCTATCCTTACAAGCTCTTCATATTAGATCTTTAAAAAAATTTATTTAGTTTTTCAAAATCTACAATTGTATTTTATGCGCACCCTGTACTACAAAATGGATGTTTCCCAACGTGAATCGTATTTATATAACAATTGTTATCTTAAGATATTTGTTATTAAGTGACACCTTAAATATCGGCCAAAATATCGTCCGCGGACGCCAGTTTGAGAAACAATATAGTATATGCAATCAAATGTTATGTTTTTAGGGGTTAATAATTAAGAGATCAATAATTTTCAGTATATTTTAATAAATTGTTAATAATAAATAAATTAGGTAGAATTAACAAAATAATACATTTTTTTAGTTCTTTGCAGTTTGCTTAGGTTCCAACTCCCAAATTCTCCTAATGGTTTTGCCGATTCCAGCACTATGGTGGTTGTAGTAAATTAAACCCCCCAAAGTCAGGGCAGAAATTACATAAATTATCCCCAGGGAAATTTTGGGGATAGCCGCGCCAAAAATAATTGGTCTAATATAGTCCACGGCGCAAGCTTCAAACCCCCTAAAATATTAAGAATAATAATTAAAATAAAAGGGGGTATAAGTGCAGCTGCAGCTTAAATAAAAAATATCTACAATATTAAGTTTTATATATTAAATTAAAAAAGTAATAGGACAAAAAATCATTTTTATTGTTAAAAACATTACAAAAATAGAATGGTTTATTGCCATAAGGTTACATGACGTTACTTGAATTTTTATAACTCGACCCCTACGTCATCAATATAAGGAAACACTGAGTGTTGCCACACGGTGTAAATAGTTACCATACCTTCTCACCAAAATTATCGTATTTGAAAAAAATTACCGTACATTTAAAAAATAAAAGAAGGTTTAAAAAATACGTAATACATCCATAAAACAAAATTTAAAAAATATAAAACAGGAAAAAAAATCATAATTTATCCCTAAAACGCCAAATATAGTGCAGTATTGACATAGAGAAGAGATCAGTATTAAAAAAAGACCTTGTTTAAAAATATTACATTATTTCGAGAGACGAAAATTATCCAAGTGAATAATCGGTCAATTTTATAGATGATTGCCCCTCATTTCCTATCATAACCTTCTACATCTGTTAGACGGTTCCATCGGAGAAAGTGCTCGATCAAAATTAGAACAATCTGACAGATGTCGAATTTATGATAGTATACAGGGGGCGAGAAATGTTCTCCCAATTTAATACCAGATTGGTCCAAAACAAAGTGAATAAAGAAATGGGCAAATCACTGACACCTAACAACGAAAATAATGAGTTAATTATTCACAGGCGTTTAATAATGCTTACCACAATTTATGAAAAAATTGTAAATATTATTATTAGTCAAAAGGAGTAAATAAGTTAATTCGTTAATTTACCTTAATTTTGCGGTATTGACGTATGAACCGTATACCGTATATTTTTATTCAAATTACCATATAAACACGTGAATTACCGTACGAATGGCAACACGGGATATAGCTCAGTTGTATTTCCAAGCCGCAGGAGCGCTGGCATGCCTCAATGTAGCAATACATTAGTAAAACCATTTTAATTAACAATCTACCTTTATTACCGTTTACAATTTAGCGACTGGGTGTCTGGGTAGGTAAGCGAATTGATCGATTAGGTATATACAAACTTAACTTTATTATATACACATTTATATAGTCTCTAAAAATGAAACAGTGGATTTTCACTGATTGACAGTGCATATTAACTATTTGCCGCAGTGATAAGTATACCACTAGCAATTAGTGAATACTCACTTTTTCATGTAGCGATTTCTTTGCACTAATTTATTTAGTGGAAATTACATTGTACAAATTAGTGAAATAGGTTTAGTCCAAAAAAGTTAAAATTTCACTATTTTATGTCGAGAGTTCCGGAAAAGTAGTGATAATAAAAAACACTAATTTGGAGAAGTTAAAATTTCACTAATTCATATTGAAAAACACTAATTTCACAGTGAATAATAACTCTCTGACGGAAATAGTGTACTGTTTCACTTTTAGAGAGTACAAACCATCTACGAACTTAGCGTGTACACAGCAAACGGAAAAATATAGAATTGTATAGGATGACTCCCCTTTTGAATACTTAATCTTAAAGTTTTATTAGAACTGTATTGAATCGTGCTTTGTTTTTATATTTTTCGCCTCTATACCTATGCACGACTATAGTTAAAGTCAAACTCAATAGTGTCTTGCAAGATACATTATTTTGATTTTCTATATTCAACAGAGATGTATACATATAGAAACTCGACCCTATCGAATGGTGCAGTCATTTATGTCTCTAGAAATTATTGAAAAAGGGTTCAGTCCAATGGTGCAGCAACTTCGGATTCCTATTCTCTGCAGAGACATAGAAACTCAAGTTTCTCGAATTTTACTGGCAATGATTTTCGTTAATGTCCCTGATAATTATACAAAACCAGCGCAATGCAATATCGCAACGGTTTCGACTTCTCTTTACTCTGCCAAGTTATAGAAACTGAAGTCTCTCCAGTCAATATTTCTGAGAGTATAAAAAAGGGTGAAATTCAATATTGCAAGAAGTTTTGATCTTTTGATGGAAGTAGTTTGAATATTCCCATTTCTGCATATGATGTTGTTGAAAATAGTTCCTTTCTTTGGTTCCTTTGTCTGATTTTTATTTACCGTAACAACTCAGGTATGTAAAGCACAGAGGATATGATGTAAAGTATATTTATGTATTATATAAAGTACCTATATTTGTTTTAAAAATTTCAGAGGTTATGATGAAAAACTGATCGATATGCTATTAAACTTTAATAATTTAGTAATGGGGTCTGTTGGTAGACCCTGCACTATCTCCACTGGTATATGTTAGTATACAGCAATATTTAAATCTGGTTGATGAAAAAGTACAAACCAGTGCAGGTTATTGTAGCATCTACGAACAAATGAATGAATGGCCCATTGGCAATTATTCCTTTAGAAAAAATATTCAACACAGCTTAATTAATTAATAAAATGAAAAAAATCACAATCATGTCGTGTATAGTTTTTTTTTCAAGGATAAAATAATTTTCAAATTATGACCTCTATACTGTGGAGAGTATTGAAACGCTCGAGTGACGAATACAACTCTATACCGTGGTGAGGGTTTAGAAAACTGTATTCAAACGTGGCGTCATCCAATACACTTCTATATTTTTCCGTTTGCTGTGTAGTTAGCCGGAGCCGATATATTCAAGACGGAGAATTAGGATCCTAGACAAAAACAAGTTTTTGTTTTTGTCTAGGATAAGGATGTAGTGATCGATGAGAGCTCCCAGATCTTCCATCGTTGGTCGGGGTAAGGGGTAGGTATAAAATATTTAGAACGAGGCAAAAATCCAAAAAATAATAAATTATTTTATATATTTGGATTTAATTTATAAACACGAATATATTTCTTTTCTAAAGGTAAAGGAGAGGTAAAGGAGTAATAAACCCAGGGATGTTTGCAAATGATGGGAAATTTTGCTGTGTTGAAAGAAACAGCTCCGGTTAATAAAATATTTACAATATAATTAAGGGTTCAGTCCCCACTACACCAGGTTGCCCGACACTGATGAGACCCAATATATGTCGAAACAGCTGTCTGTCGGTATTTGAAGTTGGTAGAACGCACTTCACTTTAGCGACTTGGTGTATGGGTAGGTAAGCAAATTGATCAATTAGGTATATACAAATTTAACTTTATTAATTAATTAAAATATTTACAATATAATTAAGGGTTCAGTCCCCACAAAAACATTTGACATTAATAATTTTATTAACAAATGGCGGCACCATATAAAATATTACGGGTTCCTCGATAAAACTAACAATAAACCATAAAGTGAAAAACTAATTTTTTTTTCGTCAAAGAATTAGGCCCCCCGGCCCCCCGTGCTTACGCCTATGATCCTATTTCAAAACGTGACTATCATTTCAACGTATATTTAACAAATCAATAAAAACACGACAAACAACAGGAAAGAATTGTTACTAATCCTGAAGAAAAAAAATGTATAACACTTTGGAACATATACACCACTGCAGTCTTCATCTAGATCATCTAGCTATAATAGACTTCATATCTTCATTTCGATCTGTGAATTCAAATTTCTTGTACATTTGCTGTCCCTCAACTTTAATATTTTATAAAAAAAATTGAGTTTAACGCCATTTGGAACTAAGCGAAATCAATTGGTTCAAGTGTTTTTAGCAACTATATATTAGCAAAATTGTAAAATTTTAAATTTAACCCTATAAAAAAATTAAACTTTCCCCAACAGTACAGAAAAGTAGCTGTCCCACTTGCAATATTATTCACTACTTAATGCTATTTAAACATCTTAGAGTAAATTAACACCGTACTTTTTTTTACATAGTTGAGAATATATTCCAAATATTACAGAATCACTGGATCACATATTGTGTGACCCAGGGGAAAATTCCAAAGAAATGAATTATAATAAATTATAAATAATATTAAACTTATAGCCTTCCACCTTTTTTGTTTCTGACAGTAGGTAGCCAATTTAAAATAATGTCCTTCACATTTTTAATAGTAATTTTTCTAGTCAATGTATTTTGCCTCAAAGAAGCTGGAAAAAAGATTTTGGTAGTTCAACGAAACAATGTTTATGTTGACTTTTTATTAATATTGGTAATAACTAGAACTTTTTATTAATTTATTGCTCGTTAAATTGGACAAGCTGGGCCCAGATAAAAAATCGAGAAAAAACGTTTTTAATACGCACTAAAAGAAAATTTCTTAAACTTGAACTGAAAATATATTAAAAATACTTATGTACCTATGTATGTAAGAAAGTTGAGAAATAGAACATAGTTTTTGCTTTTACTTAGTTTTGTACTTACATTTTTTTATAAATAATAAATTTTAGTTCTCTTTTTAAACAAATTCTAGTTAAATAAAACCTTAATAGGATTATTAACTAGCAAAAAAATATATTTTCAAAATGATTAAGCATTTTTATATAAGTTTTTTTAAATATGTTAGTAAATTTGTGACCCAGGGGACCATTTTTTTCTTTTTTCTTTTTTAAGGGCTTATTTAAAAAAATCCAACTGCCCACTTTTAGGTGTTAAATAACACCTCTAAATAAACAAAATTTGAAAAAAAAACAGGTTTGTAGATTATGGTTTTGTTTTTACTTTTTCTTCTTTAAATGTAGTAAAAGAATTTTGAAAATGACCCACCTACAGTATAGTCAAAACAATGAATAAGATACTGCAGCAACAATTGTTTCATCCTATAAAACACCACATAGAGACCACAACACCTCATACAAAAATTGAAGTAAACCTAAATAACAGAGGGGGGAGTTTAGTTTAAATGCATCCCGCATTGAAACTTAAAAAAGACAACACTCCCAGAATTAACAACCCTTTAAATGAATGCTTACACTTCTCCATTGCCCATAAAGATGATTCATTGCACTTTCTTGTCTATATACATTCAAGTGCCACAATAGAGGAAACGATATATTGGTCGCTATCCCT